TTTTATATGTATATGTGGATAATTTTTGAGATTGGTAGATTAAAGTAGACATCCATGTAGGGAAGGTAAAACATAAAAATAACTGTAACATTTATTTACTGTATCTAACCCATACTTGTTCGGTTAGGTTAATTGATATAAATTTGCATTGATATGTTTTGAAAATGTTTTATTTTCATTAAATGTTTATGGGTAAATCCCAATAGCAGAACAATAAATATTTAGAGATTTCCAATAATTTTGGCCATTGTAGCGGCTAATGTAGCGGCGCTACATTTTACTGTAGCGATAGCTGTAGCGCCCGCTACATTTCAAAGTAGCGCTGCCCAGCTCTGTCAATAATAAAACAATTGCAGACAATAATAAAACAATTGCAGACAATAATAAAACAATTGCAGACAATAATAAAACAATGGCAATCAATAATTAAAACAATGGCAAACAATAATAAAACAATTGCAGACAATAATAAAACAATGGCACACAATAATAAAACAATGGCAATCAATAATTAAAACAATTTCAGTAAATAGTTAAAATAATGGCAGCGGAAACAGATAACAATGTTTGTTCATAATTAAACAATTAGAATTACCATCTCAGCCCCCGAGCCCTCGACACCTCTTAACACTCGTCCGTAATAATCAATGACATAAACTTTGATGCAACCTAGTGTTGCAAACGCGGCTAGTGGCACTTATTTACTCTGACAATTATGAATTTTGTTCATTATATATAATCAACATATTCTATATTATACAATAATATAATAAAAAGTGTCGGATATGATTGGGCCGTGTTGTTCTATCGCCGATTTCAACTAGAAATTGCACAACAAGTTGCGGGTTTCAAACCCCCAACTCGCTGCTCCAATCATGTTGATTATAGCCACTCAGCCACACCAAACCATATTATGCTTATAAGTATACCATGTTTAATCTGAGAATAACATACTAAAAGTTTTTAGTGAATGCGTTGAATTTCGAAATAATAGGATAATTTAAAATTTAGCCAAGTTGGTATTTCACTCCAGCCAAATGTTACCCACTGACCTGCACCCCAGCCAAATGTTCCCCACTGACCTGCACCCCAGCCAAATGTTCCCCACTGACTTGCACCCCAGCCAAATGTTCCCCACTGACCTGCACCCCAGCCAAATGTTCCCCACTGACCTGCACCCCAGCCAAATGTTCCCCACTGACTTGTCTGAGATCAGGCACCGCCCCGCTGCCAGCGTCCAGCATGGAGCCGCTGTCCACTGAGTCGTGAGGCTGGAAGACGATCTCTGTCAGCGGCTCAGCGTCTGCAACACAAGAGCCGGTGCTTAAGCGTGACGTGCTATGTACTGTGCTAATTTAATATACATTCCTTTAAACATTTCTTTGAACATTCTTCGACCATGTTTTAAACAGTCTTCCAACATTATTTTAAACATTCTTCCAACATTGCTTTGAACATTCTTCGATCATTATTTTAAAAATTCCTCCTAAATTATTTTAAACGTTCTTCCACCATTATTTTAAACAATCATCCACCATTATTTTAAACATTCTTCCAACATTATTTAAACATTCCTTTAACATTATTTTAAACATTCTTCCACCACTATTTTAAACATTCTACGACCATTGTTTTAAACATTCTACGACCATTATTCTATAAATTCTATGGTTTTTAATATAGACACCTGATCATTATTAAAACACGCTTCATTGCAGATCATATCATGTTGTAAAATACATTAATGTATTAAATAACAAACTGGATATAAAATATTTCAGTTCATTTGTTTCGAATCAATTCTTGATTTTTGAATTAAAATAAGAAGTCAATCAATGTTTCCACAGTCGTAATACTAGTTAATAATACTTGTTTTGTTAATTCAAGCAAATCAAAGTCATGTCTAAATTTTATAAACATGATGCAATAACATGATCATCTTCCTAAATATCATAAATAGCATGAAAATATCTATTATGATTCCTCACTTGCTAAATGCAGTGAAGTTAAGATGATAATCGCTTGAAAGATAACAGGAATTAGCCGCATCATGTGAGCCATTTTCACGACCATTTCAGCGTCCCTGTCCTCACCACAGCGACGTTCAACACATAATAATCGTCCTGAAGAATTACAGTCCCAAACAAGTTAAGAAGAGCTTCCTTATTATTAATGACTTAAGTGTTGACAAGATCGTTAGGACGTGTGTTCAAGGCTGTTCACTCACGTAGATGAGGTTTACTTGTGACAACTCAACGCGTTCTCGACATATTGATATTACTGAGTGACATTTGGGTGATATTAATAAATAACTTTAATATTAACCCTTCCATTCAATAAAAATTTAGTACCAAATTGTAATTTTGTATATATATGTAAACATACATATATATTTGCTTGGTTGAGAAAAAGATTAATGTGAAAAATGCACATGCGCTGTGTCAGTTTTATTTGACCTAAAGACAATGGCTCACAGCCTCGTACTGCGGTCGTCATTACTGACTGAAATATTATTCATGATCAAACAAGACGTCATTTAACTTCATTCGACACTCTAGTTGTGCTCCAATTATCTAGCATTGAAGTTTAAAATTCATGGAGAGCTTGCACGATATGCAAAATAAGACATTAAGTTATAACCATTACCTTTACACCGTGTTTGAGTTTCTAGTTCTAGTTTGAGTTTACAAACAGTTTCTCCTCTTTGTCGTTCCCCAATTTTTAAATTTTAGTTTAATTGTAGTAATTGAATAGACTGTACAAGATAAAAAATTTATTTATACATAAATAACTTTTTCTGAGAGAATCATATGAAAGGTGTAATCGGTTGTCGAAAAAAACATTTTCGAAATTTTCTGTCATCTAGAATGAGAAGAATTAGAACGTCATTTTAACTCAACTCCATCATCTGTAGATTGAGTTTGCCTCGTTCTCCTCTTTAAGAATAAGTAAAGTGTGCAAGATTTCAGATCGATTGGACAGGTAGAAGTATGTTAAATATCGATTTTAATATTTGTAGCAGACAAAATTGTTTTTTCAATTTTGTTTAAAAAAAGTTTTAATTTTCAAAATTATTTATTTTGTTAATTGATTCATGCATTGTCTCCGACTTTGCGAAAGTGTGCAAAATTTCATATCGATTGGAGAAGGGGGAAGTAGGGGGGGCCAAAGGAGTCAACTGTCAAGGAGATAAGGTGCATTCCGAGTACGGAATGCTCGTTCAGTAGCGAGAGCGGAACGGCCATTAGAAAAGTACTCTTCGGCAGCAGACGTATGCAGCTCACTTGTCCAATGCATAGTGACAACTAACTAGGCAAGACACAAAACTTCATGACTTCGCCTGTCATGTGCACTGCTCCACGCCATTTTCCTACAACATTTGTTTGCTTGGGGCGAAATACAAAACAAGACGTTTCAGTGAATCACACTCTAGTTTTGAGCAGCCTTGTATATCCAGATAAAATTTCTATAAGTGTTATTGGTACTTCATGTAAAATTAAACCATATTTTAGTCTCCATGTTGATGAAAAACATAGTAAATTGGACGTTGATCACTGAAGAGCGATTGAAATTTGCCACATATCCAAACAATAAAGATAAAATTCTCAAAAATATGTGTTATAAATATGATTTTTTAAAATTTGTAGCAAAATAAATATTGCTAGTCAAATTGATCTAACACTTAGATAATTATTAGCGAAGTATAGAACGCTGAGGTACTTGAATGTCAGGAGCAAAAACCGTGGATTTTCAAACCGCGGATTCAAAACCTGAAAAAATCGTAGATTGCCGACCTGAAGCTCCGAAAAAATATTTAGTAAATAAATTTTGGCTTAAAGATTAATTTACCTCCAAATGACACATTTTCCAATTAAACTATTTCAATGGGAAGAAATTCTGAAAAACCATTGATAACAATTATGCACTAGATTTTTATAAAAAACTGTAATAACTTGGCTAAATTTGAGCCCAATTTTAATTTTCGAAGAAACGGCCGCAGAATAAAAATGTAACAATTAAAACCTAGCAAAATTATTTGATATCATTGAATATGCATGCGGGCAAAATAAGAAGGCTACATTAAGCTGCATAGGTCGCCATTGCCAACTAACTCAATATGAGTACAAGGTTAACAGGCGAATCAATATTCAAGACAAGTATCGAGTCGAGGCACACAACTTACACGCGCACACTGACACACAGGTACACACAGCAACACACACTAACACAGAAATATTATTACGTCACTAGGCAACAGTATAACAACAAGGCTGGTTTAGAAGCCACCATTGAACACTGTAGGTCAGGTACGGAACTGCTCGCGTGACAGGCGCCCAGGTGAAGCGAATTCTCAAGTGCTCAGTGATTTTTATTTTCTATACGAGACACAAAGTTTCAAAATTCAGTAATTCACAGGTTATTCAGGGTAGCAATAAATACAGGTTATGGTATTTGAGCTTGTTAAGCTCGGTGTTATTCAAGGCTAGAATTACATACTGGCTGCAATGATTCAATATTCAATAATTCACAGGCAATGATATTCGTGCTCGTTACAATTAAAGTTATTCAAGGCCAGACCTCCATGCGAGCTGTTAGATTCAACATAAAAAGGGCTGTGAATTCGTTGCGTTTGAAGTTATTAAACACATAACAATAATATAGAAAAATTTACCAATTTTAATCATGTATATTAGAATAAAATAACAGTGTTGTGGGAACCAAAATGTCGTATTATTTATTTAAAAGAGGATTTTCAACTGATGTCTTCAGAGTGTGGAATATTTAACAAAATTTGAAAATGACAAAATTACGAGTATTCAATTAATACTCTTTGTATTGTATGATTACCGTATTCATATGATTAATTGATAGATATTTGTGCGTGCATGTGTAGAGAGCAAATGCGCTGTATGAATTTTTGCTACAATATGTTTCAACATATTTTTTTCTAACTTAAAGTTTTTAACTTTTGTAAAGTTAGCATATTCTCTGCAGATACCTTCAGGAGAAATTACGACAGGCTGAACTTAATAATGGACTTATATTCAGTCAAAATTATTTCCCTGTTGAATAGATTGACCTGGAAATAATTTTTTTAATTCTAGTTATTCTATTACCAGTAATCTCTGATAAAAACTGAAACCGTAGAATATTATCCACCTGAAGACTTCCCGGGGCATGACCCGAGCTTCTGTTAAGAGGAAACGCGACGAGGTCACGTCACTGGTGAGTAAACTGCTAGGTCAGAGAGTGAGTGTTTGCCGTTAAAACCGCTAGGTCAGAGAGTGAGTGTTTGCCGTTAAAACCGCTAGGTCAGAGAGTGAGTGTTTGCCGTCAAAACCGCTAGGTCAGAGAGTGAGTGTTTGCCGTCAAAACCGCTAGGTCAGAGATTGAGTGTTTGCCGTCAAAACCGCTAAGTCAGAGATTGAGTGTTTACCGTCAAAACCGCTAAGTCAGAGAATTGGGAAAATTGGTTGTCACACTTTTTATTGCGGTTTGCATTTTAGAATAAGTTTTACTTCCTATTCTAAATGATTTATATTGGTCAATCCTTCGCAAATAGATCTATTTTTTCCATAGGCGTATTTAAGCAAATGCCAAAAAATTGCACGATGCAGCGGTTTTTTAACAATAACTTCCGCTTCGATGATAGATTATTTTTTAGCATGGGCAGTACACCTGGTTTCAGCTTCGTTGAAGCTTCCCAATGAAAACAAATTTGAATTTATTATTTTTGTTTGTTAAACTTCGTTCAAAAAATTCTCGCGTTGTTGCAAGTTACTTGACTTACTTCAAATCTTATCGATTTCATTCTCCTCCTGATGATCATTTCAATTTTACTTAAATTACGATAAGCTTAATTGAAATCGTTTACTTATCAGTTAACCGGCTCAGCAACTGTGACACAGACAAGAACACACAACAGTGCCAGCGGGAGGAGGAAGATGGCAGCGGCATCGGTAGCTGCATTGATATCTTTCCTGTAAGCGATGTTAAGGCTGTTATTTGTGGCTGCCAGATGTGTGTTTTTTGTGGCTACCAGATGTGCGGTGCTATCTGTTGTGATAAATAATGCAAAAATGATATGATATTTTTTATATATGTGAGGTATTCAAATAACCATAAATATTTAGCATGTGGTTATTTGACAAAACCGCAAGGTTTACTCCTGGTCCTGGTATGTATATGTTATACAACAAATCATTGGTATACCACACAGGTTAGTGGCAGCGCTGAACCTGAGCGCTCTTGGCGAGTTGCCGGATGATGGTAAGGCTTCTATATGCATCGTATTTGAATTTAAACTTGAATCCTTCACAACTTTTTTTTGAATTATATTCAAACGCTAAACAAGCATTATTTCAATTTTCCAAGAGATTTTTTATGATTGAATAATAAATTTTTGGTCTATGTTGTTTTAATTAATACGCAAATTAAACAAAAAACATTAAAATCTGAATATATGAACGATTTTTCAGTATTAACTTGCCTCCTTGTGACGTTAGTTTCCAATTCACAGGAGATTCATCAAATCTTGACATAGATGACGCCACACGCAGGATTCAACCTCAAGTCGACGAGTATGCCAACAATATCGTCGGAGATCCGACTAACCCGAACCAAAAATTTGATGAAAATCAAGAAAGGCTCAAATTCTCAGCCCCTAGCCCTAAGAAACGTGTCCCAAACAACCAGGAAGCAAAAACCAAGAAGAAACGTGAAACTGAACTGCTAAAAAATCGCGAAAGAAAACCAGAAATATCAGAAGAAAAAGAGACCTGGAGCGACGACGGACGAGTTCATTGCTACGAAGAAAGCCCCGACTCCATCAGATGTCATTCCCACGACGACATGTTGGAAGACGCGCCCAGACACGCGAGACCTGAGAACTACAACAAACTAGATGATGGAGTTGCTGATGCCGTCAAGAAATCTAAAGGAAACACAAAAACAAACAAAAAATCCCATAAGAAAAACGAAGTTAAAAGCCGTAACGTGCCCCCAATGCCTGAAGCTAAACATGGGTTCGGATCTACCGACCGAACTGTGGTGGAAGTGGATTACTTTAATGGGAGTTTGGGAATAAAAGACCCGAGAACTGGTCAAAGAAGAAAAATTGAACAACTGCGAGGCAATGAAGATATAGACACGGACTCATTGATGACGACAAACAAAAAGAAGAATGAGAAGCCCTTTAAAATTCCTCAACACAAAACTCTGCAGGAGCTGCTAGACAATTTAAAAGACCAAGGATATCCTGAACCTGAACTTGACTTGGACAGAACAGAAACTTACGATATTTGGGATAAGGATGAACTATGTGCTGGGTGAGTCGTTGTATGGAGATATTGACAAATCACATAAAAAAATCGGGGCAAGTGAAAATAAGTTGCAGCGCCGTCCTGGGTTCCCATACTTCGTGTGGATGTTGTATGCAATGCTGCACGTAACACCGTACGCTGCACGTAACACCGTACGCTGCATGTAACACCGTAATCTTCAACATCGTTCGTTTGGCAGGCAGGTAACGCGGTTCGGGCGGGCGCTGCCGCCGGCGCTGCTGTTGTCGTACCCGCGGTCAGGGTCGTCGTGGCTGCGCTACCTCCTGGAGGCCGCGACGGGGGTCTTCACGGGGGCCACGTCCAACAGCTCCTTGCTGAGCAGTCTTGGTCAGTGGCTTGCTGGGCAGTCTTGGTCAGTGGCTTGCTGGGCAGTCTTGGTCAGTGGCTTGCTGGGCAGTCTTGGTCAGTGGCTTGCTGGGCACTCTTGGTCAGTGGCTTGCTGGACATTCTTGGTCAGTGGCTTGCTGGGCAGTCTTGGTCAGTGGCTTGCTGGACAGTCTTAGTCAGTGGCTTGCTGGGCAGTCTTGGTCAGTGGCTTGCTGGGCAGTCTTGGTCAGTGGCTTGCTGGCAGTCTTGGTCAGTGGCTTGCTGGGCAGTCTTGGTCAGTGGCTTGCTGGGCAGTATTGGTCAGTTGCTTGCTGGACAGTCTTAGTGGCTTGCTGAGCAGTCTTGGTCAGTGGCTTGCTGGCAGTCTTGGTCAGTGGCTTGCTGGACATTCTGGACCAGTGGCTTGCTGGGTTCAGCAGAGCAGATGCTTTTATGCTATTCTTACCTAACCTGCAAATTTCCTTTCGACAACTGAAAAGTCAGCATTAATCTCCCAACATAACGCTATTCCTACCAAGACCACAGAATAAAATATTACAATTCGCAGGTTTTCTCGGCGAGCAGGAGCCCCCTCACTCCCACTCAACGCTGCTCACTTCATCCCACTCAGTCTCCCCGCTGGCTGGGGAGCGCTCCAGCAGCTGGGAGCCGGACCTCCGCATTCCCACGGTGCTTCTGGTCCGCAATCCCGCCGAGTGAGCCAGACCGGGCAAATATCCAGCTAATAAATCTGGTTTTTATTGATTATTACATTACAAGATAGAGTTCTTTGTCGAAAATGAGTAAGTAGTAACTATATCATAAGCTAAAGTTCTTAATCAGGAAATAAGTAGCTAACAAATCAGCTCTTTGTTGTTTAAATTATTAGCTAAAATTTTTGTGAAGAGCATAAAGGGTTCAGTAGGGCTCAACTTATATTAATGAGAAACAAGTTGAAAATTAGACGCTTTACGCCAGATGTGCACGTTGTTCCAATTACTGTACATAATTTACGGGAAATGTTTCATTCACTGTACATTAGAATACTATAAAAGAATATGCATAGAATCAGAAGAACAGATTTCTTAGAGTTCTAATATACTAAGAATATTTAGTTACATAATAGAATATTCATATTATTTATAAATAACAGCGACAACAGTAACATTATTTAAATAATTTTTTAAATGAAAAGCTTATTAATCGGATGATTTTTAATTATTTCTATTAATTTTACAGCGCGCTGATATCACACTGGCAGTTCAAGAACTCGTCGGGCATCAACCGCTTCGCTCACAGCCTCCCGCACGCTTCTTTTGATACTCAAGGTATTATATACTATACACACTTGAACAGTTTAATTATGACGATTAATTGATTAATCATTATGATGATTATTAATTAATATGATTGATTATTGTGAAGAGTTGTTATTATATTTATAGTTAATCAAAGTAACCTATGCTGTAGAAAAGCGATCAGTTGCACAATTTATAATGGTAAAAAGTTATTACTCTATTTTCAGTTACTCAAAATAATTAAATAATTTAAGCCATACAGAAGCGATTACTTTAACTGTTAATAATTTTGAATGGTTGATACATAGTTTGTTGTTATCCGCAAGGTAAATGATAATAATGGTTATAACTCTAATTGATAACAAGATCTCAGCGTGAAACTGAAAAAAATGATTTTTATAAACAGTTTTATTTATATGAAATTTTTTACGCTATATCGGTATAGCGTAAAGAATTACGAAAGAATATAGCATACAGAATTAAGTCCTACTATTTATAATTTTTATTATATTTTTGCAAAACTAATTACGCATGAACTTTAATGCACATATTTTTATCTTTGAAGGTTTCAATGCTGAATAATTACTAAGAATTTATAATATGAAGCAACTTCATATTATAAATTCTTTTGCTAGATAACTTATTATATAGCAACTTCGCTTCATCTTGAAGCGTAAATCCCCCAACAATTTCAACAATAATTTTGTTTCGGGCAGAATTTCACGACTTTGTTGCGTCTGAACTGCCACGATGGGAGCAAGTGAGTTCAGGAACGAAGTCATCATTATATATTTCCTCCTAGCTTCATGAGTCTAATTTTCAACGCCTGTATTAAAAAAATCTGCACTTTCTTTGCTATAAATTCAATAATTTATTCGATCTATTTAATGTCCGGGAAATCACGTATTAATATGTCTATTAATATTATGTGTTATTATGTCTCATAATGAGTAATAATCTCAAAAAAGATAGAAAAAGAGATAATATCGGATCTGTTTAATCTTTTTTTGGTTTGAAAAAAAAAGAAACAGCTTATAATACGAGTGACAATTCTCGATCTTGTCAGATCTCGCGCGCTGAATTTAGTTGAAATCTTGCTGCGATTTTGCAATTCTACTGATTCAAAATTCAGTCATTAATTGAAATCACTGTCAGCACGGGAAGTACTAAAGCCGAAAACTATAAATACGAAAAAATCAAAACTTATGTCACTGGAGCAAAACCCTAATCATATATTCAATATATTTTATATTGTAAGGTAATTCTAAGTATCTGTGAATTGCGTAACTTCCGTTTTCATTGATTAGTAGCCCGAACCTAGAGTTTGGAAACGCCGTGTGGTCACCGAAACTTGAAAAGGACAAAAATTTAGTAGAAAGTGTTCAAAGACGTGCAACAAGGATAATTTCAGGCTTGAAAGGCAAGTCCTATGATGAAAGATTAAAGATTATGAAGATTCCAAGCCTCAGTTATCGACGTTTGCGTGGTGACCTCATTGAAGTATACAAGTATACTCATGGTTTAAACAAGTTATTTGAAGGATTACTAGAATTTGAAACAAGAACCAACACCAGAGGCCACGGCTATATAGTAAAAAAACTGCGCTGCAACTTCTCCACGCGACATTTCTTCTCGCTTCGAGTCACTGACATGTGGAACAACCTCCCTGATGAAATTGTTGACGCTCCGAGTATGAACGCGTTCAAGAACAGACTATATAAAGCTATGGAAAAATATATGTTCAGACTTGAAATGCCAAGTACACCACATATCAATCGAAAGTCCAGGAACGATTTCAGACCATCGTCAGTTTACAAGATCCTGTCAAAAGGCAAGCTTTTATATCTGTGAACATGTCACGAAAAGTACAAGAATCGGCCACAGGCCTGATCAGGCTTAATATTAAAGCCGAAGATACTAAACCATTTTATATTAACGATCTGTATATATTTTGATTAAATTTGTTTTAAATTCTAATTTAATAATTTGCAGACGTACTGGAGTCGCCTGCAGTGGAGCACCCGCCTGTACGCACTGCACTACGAGGACCTCCAGCAGCGCCCCTTGCAGGCATACAATTTTAGAAGAATTAAAAAATCTTTTATAGAAATTTTCCGAAAAGACTATTTTCAGAATTTTTTTATCTCTGTTCGATCTCTAGAGGGTAAATCGACCAGTAAAATACCATGAATATCAGCAATATCATACATAGAAATTGAAAAAAAATTGAATCAGTTCAGGGAACTAAAAATGCACTGGTTTCTAAAAAATCCCTTTTTCTTTTGCCTCTATGCCGGCAGGAGCTGGTGAAGCTGATGGCCTTCCTCCGCCTGCCGCCGCCCTCTGGCCAGCGTTTGTTCTGCTTGAGGAACAACATCAACGGCCCCATCAACACTGACAAGGTCAAGGTCAGTTCTGGGGTTATAATAATAAAAAATAATAATAACTGTTTCTGCGTTTAATAGGCCGTAGGCCTGTCGCCGATTCTGAACATCGCAGAACATTCACAGCATTTTATTGTGGTCTCGAACTCGCAACTCACTGCTACACTTCTTCTGTGCTTAACCGCCCGGCCTCCTTGCCGATTCTGACCAGAAACTGGCGCACAGAGCTGGGATCGAACCCGCGCCTCTCTGCGCCAATCTTGGTACTCTGAACTTTAACCATTAGGCCACCCATTAATGGATGGAACCTCTCCAAGGAATGAGAATCACCCAGAATCCTTGTTCATGGAGTCTGTGAGAGACTCCTTCCTAGTCCAGCACGTTACTAAGCCAATCCATTAAAGAAGTAAACAGAATCCCAATATTCTAGACCTAGTGTTTACTAGTGATGAATCAAACTTGACTTGCTGGGTCCCATAAGAGGTTCTAACCCACAGAGCTACACCTCTACTGCACTGCTCTTCATTTAAGTTATGAAAACAATCAAAACCTGGCAACTGAAATTACAGGGCGATAGTTGCCCGGGCAGGATGATATTGACTATAATCAACGTGTAATTATACCACTGTATTACTTTTTAGGTTATATGTGTTCAAATGAAAATATTAACAATAATCAACAACATCAACATGGACCATGAAACTGACAAGGTCAAGGTCAGTTCTGATCATGATATTTATAGTAATCAACAGTAATACCACAATGTCCGAGCAATAATACTTTATAGTGGAAAGAGTTCATAAGAAAACAATAACAACACCTAACACTATTACTCCAGTTAGTGTGCCAAACAAATATCAACAAATCTATTATCATATTTATCTTTTTTATGCATATAGTCTACGCGAGACTACGACAATAAGCTGTTGAAAGAAATGAACGCAATGCGATCAATTTGAACTTCTTTAATTATGTTTGAAAGAAGCATAAGTTCAGCCCAAAAAATGAATAGAGTGTATTTAGAAATTCAGGAAATGTTAACAATAATATTTTCAATATATCACTAGTGTAATCAATGTTGAATTTATAAACGATTATCATATTTTATCTAACTGATGAATAAGTGAAGTATTTCAATGCATCACTAGTAATCATTGTTCAATTTATATAATCAGTTATTTTGTCAAGTGATGAATAAGTGAAGTATTTAAATACATCACTAGTAATCATTGTTTAATTTATAAAATCAGTTATTTTGTTAAGTTATGAATAATTGAAGTATTTAATCGTCCGCAGATGAACCCGTACACCAGCGAGGAGACTGACGCCCTTTGGGCGGCCATCACCCGCGTGTCAAGTGGCCTCCTATTGCGCGACCTTCCCCCACCCCCATACCACCTAGCGTGAAGCGTGAGCACACGACGTGGACTGTAGCGTGAAGCGTGAGCACACGAACTTGGACTGTAGCATGAAGTGTGAGCACACTAGCGTGTATTGTAGCGTGAAGCGTGAGCACACGAACGTGGAATGTAGCGTGAAGCGTGAGCACACGAACGTGGACTGTAGCGTGAAGCGTGAGCACACGAACTTGGACTGTAGGAGTAGGATGAAGCATGAGCACACTAGCATGGACTGTAGCATGAAGCGTGAGCACACGAACGTGGACTGTAGCGTGAGCACACGAACTTAGACTGTAGGATGAAGCGTGAGCACACTAGCGTGGACTGTAGCATGAAGCGTGAGCACACGAACGTGGACTGTAGCGTGAGAGAAATTTCAAGCTTCAGTTTTACGAGTTGTATCGGTCATACCAAATCATGGTATAGTTTGGAAAAAGCTGTTCTTTAATGCAAGTTAATTACTAGTTAATTGTTAAGTAAATTTACTGCAAGTTAGTTTATATAAGTTGAGAAAAATGCAAACAAAAGTACTCTCTGGTCATTAGCAAAATTTGCACACCTAATGTTTACCAAATGTCATACGAAAATCTCAGTATTACGGGTTGCCTATCTTTCAGTTTACGTACTAACCAATAACTTTCAATCGAAAAGTCGTAACTTATAAACATTAGTCGAAGTTTGTGAGTGTGTTTTAAGCCTGGAACTGAAAATATATGGGGGTTGTAGAGGCCCGCGTATCCAGGATACTTATCGTGTCGGGATATTGCCTGGAAATGAAATTTTATTCTTTGTGGGAGAATATGATAGGATTGGAGCTGGAGGAAAGGAGGGAAAGTAGGAAAGGATTTAAAGAGGGGGAAAAGGATTGGACGAATAGGCGGAAAAGCCTAGAGAAACGGGAGGAAAGGGTTAAATAGTAAGTTGAAATCGGGTTTTGTAGATGGTGTGCGAAAATTTTCTTTAATAGGCGCAAAATTGTTCTTTCCTAAAAACGACAGTGAAATGGGAGTCTTTTTTCTGTGTGACAGATGGATTTAGCTATTTTATTAGAATACATAATCTTTTTCCTTATTAACAGGATTATGCGTTACGGGAATGATAGGATTTTGGAAAAAAAATCTATAATTGCAGAAATTATCAAACTGGTAACGCCGAGCTAACCTGTTAGAATCCCAATAAAAAATATCTCTTGAAAACCTGGTCCTAGAAGTTTCAAACCTTACAAAAGGTCCAATTCGTTAGATTGAAAATAACCACGAGAAATTTGTTAATAATGACTTTCGGGTCTACACCTGAGCCCGCATTATCTTCAATCAATATACATCCATCATTTTAAATATCGAGGAGAGACGTTGAAATTTGCCTGACGTTTATCAGAGTGAGGAAAAGTGGTAAAATTTGGACTAATGAAAAATCTTGAGAAATATTCGGCTAGTTGACCATCATTACTTATAGGGTTAAGATTCATTCTTATTTACAAATTGACGCTGTCAATTCCAATTTTTCGACTAAATGGACAAAAACATATATTTAACCTCTGAAGGTTATAAAATTGCGCAGGAGGAAGCCATGGGCCACAAAAAAGCGTACATTTCTCCAAAACCATAACTTTGTTCATATAATCCGAATTATGTTCTTTATAATCCGAATATCCTAATACGATTTCACCAGATAATCAGCCCAATTAGTCTATATTTTAGCGCTTTTCCGATGGGGAGTAAACGGCAAATGGCAGTACCTACCACTGAAAACAATCGCGTACTCGATATATCTAAATTTGGTGCTACCGAATATCAAGCAAAAAAAAAAACATGTACAACACTTCGGCGTGGTAGAAAACAAACTTCGTGCTACCGGATATCATATTTTATTTTATTAAACTTAATCCATTCATGAAAATATCTTCAAGTAAAATTGTTCAACACTTTATACCTATTTTAAATTCAAGCCATTAAAACGGCAAAAATTAATACTTTGGACAACAACATATTTACAAAACAATAAATAAACGATAATTAATCAGTTACTCACCATAGAACAAAAACGAAAAACGGTACGCGAGTACAAACTTTGATATTCGTTTTTAAAAACTAGATTTTTTTTATTTATTCAAATTAGAAAAGTTGGCGTGGCTAAACAGGTTGTCTTGCCACGGGCGTAGCCTATGCTGTGGGTGGCACTTCACCCGAGTGGCACTTAAGGGTGGCAACGAAGAGCGGCCCTTCACCCAAGTGGCAAAGAAGGGTGATGCTTCACCCAATTGGCACTTCACCCTAGAAGCACTGAATGTTGGCACTTCCTCCAAGTGGCACTGAAGGGCAGTCAGAAAAAGGCAGTCAAGTTGGGAAATGAGCGCCCTCACGTCACGCCCTGGAGAAGTGAGCGCCCTGACGTCACGCCCTGGAGAAGTGAGCGCCCCCACGTCACGCCCTGGAGAAGTGAGCGCCCCCACGTCACGCCCTGGAGAAGTGCTGCACCTGCAGCCGCAGGCGAGTTATGCTCCAGGACGGCAGGCGGCCGCGCGTGTAGTTCCTATGCAGCCTGCAACCACATGGTAATTAAAAGCACTTAATGATGATTAAAAGGTGATCGGTATAATGCATTTGGTAATAATAGGAATATATAATGGTGATCAAGTTTAAATTGCTGCATAATGGCAGGGATAACAGTAGATATCTTAAAATAAGTGTAAATTTTTAACTTACAAAAATATTAGAAATACGTTTATGGAGGGAGAATGCAAATTTACAAAATAAAAAAATTTTCCACAGTGAACTGTAGAATTATTATTTCAATTACACTTCTGATTATAAATATAAAATATGAGGAATTTCCACAATTTCCCTGTTCCCATCACTTTGATTAATTGATGACAGGCATATCTCACCTCAAATTAAAAGTGATGTAGTCAGTTTTCTGCCGGTCAGAGTGTGGCTTGGCAGCCAAAACGAGTACAGAAATATCACAATATTTTTCATCTGAAAATTTTCAACACTTAAAATTAATATCGAATGATAGCAGATGTCATTACTAAATTATTACATTTACTGAAATGAAACTGGTGAGAAGGCGTTTCTAAAAGGTTGTCAACGTGAATGTAATAATGATTCGTCAGAGAAAAAAAAGGTAATCACTTTTTCATGAATAAAAGATGGCTTATAGGCTTTTAATTATTAAAAATATTTATCATCATATACAACCCCGCTCATCAATCAATTGCATTAGTGATAGAGAATAAATGGCATGAGGCACATTAAGAATTACAATGGAAATGTTCCCACCGACGACTTGCTGCATTCTGATGCCATCAATGTGCACAGCCAGGATGTTCTTAAGTTGTAGGTCCAGAGCGTCGATCTACAACATACAATTTTAATGAAACCTGCTAACTCGCAAATAGTTAAGGGATATAGGGTAATTACCACACAAGAACATATTTGTAGGGGTTCAAATATAATACAACTTTCCGTAGTCAATAACTTCATAACTTTTGTTATATAACCTCTCTTCTGATAAAAATAATCTATTTTGCAACAATAAATTCTGCTAGAACACAACATTTTTGCCAAAAAAATTAGCTCAAAAACATCAGTGGGAACCTTGAGGTATAGGTACATCACAACTTTTTAAAGATTTAAACCCAAATCAAATAAATTTTGAATTGCTATTTATTTACCACCTACTTTATAAACCATGGAAGAAGTACAATCAGTCTTTAATGTTTTTCTCTATCTCAAATGAACATAGTATAACGTGTCTTTTTTTGCTCGAAAGTGGAGAGACTGCATTGGGTCAAAGGCTTCTAGTGATAACCTGTTACTCTTATGATAGGATTACATAATTGTGACATTAAGAAAGAAAATTTATTATGTATGAGAAAGAAACTCAAGGGAAAACAAACAAAAAGATCCCAGGAAAATTCCATTGAATGTGTATGGTGAAATGAATATGGTGGATAATAGCAACAGGTAGAAACAATTTTTGAATATTTCTAGAATCAAGAACCTACATTAATTAAATTTGGTGATTCCTCATAAGAGCTGTTATTCAGCGAGCCATGGATTACAGCATAGTAAAAATTTTTCTTTCAGTGTTGAATCTGACCTGTTCCTGGGTGATGGGACTCCTTAAAAGTCTGAAGTCGTCAATAATAGGCTGGCTCACAAGGCCTTTTAGTTCTCCCCACTCTCGGGCACGAACAAGCTCTGAAACTCGCACCACAGCCTGCATGGTTCAAAATTAATTTTAAATTACAACATTAAAAGAGCTCATAGACTTGTAAGATAAACAGGAAACCCACAGTAATACAAATAATTCAATTAAAAATTACATATCTACCTAGGCTTATTTAAAATATAAATTTCTGGAATCTATTGATACATTCAATTGATGACCCTAGAATTTATGATATATCCATGTCATATATATACAGCAGCATTACTAGCACAATAACATATGTATAAGTGACAATTTTTAAGATGATTCAATATCTGAAGTTAATAACGGTTGATTCTGTACATAAATTAGAATAAAAACTAAATTGAAGAATAAGTAGCAGCCTAGCAGGTAAACATGTTGGTCAAAGCATTATATTTCAAGAACTGTCAGCATTATGGTTGCCAAACACCTGCTTAACTCCAAACTTGAAAGCTTTCACATCAAAGCTGGGATCCCAGGAGCTTTGGAACTCCTGAATAATCAGCCAGTTGCTCAGCCATCTGTGTAAATGAATTTAAATGAATTCCAAATATTTTAAGAAAGCAATACAAAATTATGAAAGAAATGCAATAACCCTAATAATTTACAGAAAATTAAACATGTGTAGCATTTAAAACCTCTTGTGTAGCTCAAATGCAGAATAATTAACACTGCTCATCACTCATCAGTAGTACAATATTTTTTGCAGTTACAATGAAATTAGTATTTTCAAAATATGGAAAAACGGTTAAATTTTTTACCATTATCTTTCATAATTTAGTTCTAGGTTGACTCTAGTGTCTCCAAAAGTTCTAAAAAATCAATAGAAATGAACAGCAGCATTTTTTAAGATGAACACAAGTTGGAAAATTCCAGAACAACAGTTAGTTATATAAAAAATTAGCCGGGCTTGAGAATCTAACCACAGTAAAGAAAAAACTTACTTGAAAGGATTGGGGATGTACATGTGAAATCCTTCAATCTTTTTATCACCTTCACAATTCAAAGAGGAAGTAGAGTGAAGCCCTCTGCTTGGCATTGTAAATAAACTTTTCTGTTGGCTTCTGCTTGCCAATATATTGCACGCACATGAAGAATAATCATTTTGACGATTTCTTGAATGCTCATAATTTGATTTTGATGCCCAAATGTCATCCCTAAATGATTGAGAAGAGCTTAGCACCATTTGAAAATGTTGAGATCTAGGACAGCATAACTTCAACAAAGCACAATCAGGAGATGTAAGATGCTTCAGGCAAGCATGAACACATCCAATGCTTGCCATTATGTAAGTGTATTTGAACTTTGAGACAATAAATTTTAGAAGTAATTATAAATGTATGAACTACAAAAATATCCTGTTACTCTGAATAAAAGAAACAAAATTTTATTTCTATATAACTAAACATAATTTGTTAGAAGAAGCCAAACATGTTGGAAACAAAGTTTTCATTGTATTTTCAAACTTCAAACATATTTTGAGCATTTCATTTGAAGGAACATAATTAAATTACAATGCAAAATTTATTGCAAATTTGCAATGGGAATTCCAAGAGTGCTGATTGCTGAGTAGCTAACTGCTAACATGCTTCCTACAAACTAACAAAAGGCATAGGCCAAGCTGTGCAAAGTGGCTGTATCAGTCATCACTCATCAGTGTATGTCTCAATAATGTCTGATGTCTGAGCAACCAAAATTTTCAGGTTTCTTAGAACTTTAGAAGTAGTACGTCAGTAATCAGTAGTGACTACTGAGTAGTGAGTACTGATGTACTACAGTATCACTACTACTTATGGCATTGTACGGGGTAAGTTTCCGGGTAACGGGTTAGTAGGGCCACTACCATTATGGCATTATCGAATATCGTTAAAATATGTCATGGCAAAAATGAAGAAAATACGCATGAAAATTTTATTGTAGGTTGGCTTTCTATAGCATAATTAACCCATTAATGCCAAGCAGTTCCATTTGGAACCAGCGGAAAGAAATTGATTCATAATAAAATTGTATGGTCAAATCAATATACTAGTGGATGCGTAGGTTTGATACACATCTTGGACATGTTCTGGCAACGTTTGGTTCAGCTGCGCTGACTACTCCCTGCTCAGTTAACTTTAAAAGATTGTAAGTACCGGGTGTCAGACAGGAGGGCTTTACATCATTGCAGAGAAACGCAAGTAGTTTGTTCTAAAAATATATTATTTATAAGTTAGATGCAGAATTTTATCGACAAAGAGAGTACTTTTAATGCTGTATATGGTATTACGTGATTTAATGTTTCTAAAGTCATTTAGATCATGAAATATTTTGCCTGGTTCCAAATGGAACTGCTCGGCAGTAGTGTAAGCATTCTGGTCATATCATTTTCCCAGTAGATTACTTTGTGATATAGTTACGCATTGTATTTCAAAAACTTGTTTGTATTTAGAAATTATTTATTTAGATCTTAGATCCAGTTTTTCCGTTATTTATTAGTGAACTATTATCTTTAGAGCTGTTAGGAGTATATATCCCAAAAGTTGATATATTTGGAATTAGGTACGTACGTAGAACACTTTACGATTTTTCATCAGAGTCACTTTTTTCTAGTTGTATTTTTGGCAGATCATCACATGAAATAATTAAGATTTCGAGAGAAGAATAACACGAAGATCAAATATTTGCGACTGAACCTTTCACAGAAGCAGCAACAAAGGAAACATACTGAGATTCAGATAACTCAGATGACGCAGCCACTAGCAATTATGCTTGCCTATCGAGAATAGTCATTGTAGCAACAGTAATCGGCACTAATCGCCAAATGTGAAAACAATGACTATCAACAGAGAAGAAAGTCATCTGTGGTCGACATGGCCACATCATAGTGACAAACCAGAGATTTTTTAGAATCGGTTCATTTTTAATTTCCTCATTTATTCAAGATTTAAACCAATTTCTTATGTATGATAATGCTGGTATCCATGATACTTCACTGGTGACTGGTCTCCTTATAGGACTCAAAAATGAACTTGAGGGAGAGTCTAAAAACAAGTCTTTTCTTTGCCACTATGGGCCACATTATACTACGACATATACGTGGCTAGCCCGTGAGATTTAGTTATAAACTTTGGGCAGCAGATAAATAGGATGATATTTTTCTGCTATTGAAGCCAATCGGCGGATCTAATAGAAAAAGAAACTTATTCATGGGCTGGAACATGGATTGGTCCCATAAACACGATACAATTGGTCCCAAGGTAACATATTATATGTGATATCTATTCTGATTTCATTTGGCTTCTCAAAAAACTTTTGAAAAAAAAAGAATGGCTATTGCAATAAATTTTCAAAAATATCGGATAGGAAATGCAATAATGCAGGAGAGTGAGGAGACCCTAAGTAAAACAATCAGGGTCTATAGTGCACCCTTCTACTTTGATCCTTGATGAAGTGCAATACAACAATCAACAACATCGGCCAGCAAAGAGACATCAGAGCATTCAGAGGCACTGCAAATCAGCAAATGCAGTGCTTCGTAAACAATGTTGAAAACGCACCCACAAACATTCGTAAAATGGGCATTGGGCAACCTTCCTATTCATTTTGAATGAATGGAAGCATTCTATGCTAAAAATTGAATTGTATTCTGGTATAATTCTGCCATGATTGGTTTATCATCATAAACTGACATCATTCATCAGTATTGTCCATTAGGAATACATATACTATTACGTATTATCCATTATAAACAACCTTTCTTGATTTACTATCGGAAAAAGTGTTGTTTGAAGAAACGTTATGTTAATGCCAAGCGGTTCCATATGGATTATGGAACCAAGCTATAATTTTTCACATACAACGAAAAATAAATATAGCTATGAACATGCTTTTTGCTTATTACCATCACAAATGATAATATTCTCACAAGGAACCGAAAAAAATTCAGAAAATAATTCTCGTCATTAATGGGTTAAGACGATTTTTTTAGAAATCAAACAATACAATTGAGGGACGCGCCGGACGCCGAAGCTCCGGCCCCGGGCCTTCGCCGATGATGAGCGCTGAGCGGGAGCTTGCACTAAACCCAACTGGCCACCTCCATCATCAGCTGCTCGCTAACAATCTTTCTTCTTTCTAATTTATTCTTATAGGAGCACTGGAAGCTAGTCCATAAAGCCCCTTGCCTAAACTGGGTTTAATTGGTACCTAACAGTCTAACAGCTCTGAAAGTTAAAATCTGAAACAAAGAGAGAACACACACACACGGAAAAAGAAAAAACAAGAAAAAAATATAAACTAAAAATAACAGAAAAAAAATTAAATAATAATAAATTAATTTCAAATGTATCACCAATATCAAGGACTTCAATGTCATCATTAACCAAGTGGTCTCTTACCTCATTGCCTGTATTAGTACTAGGAGTAGGTGGTACAATGTCATCAAGGCTGAGAGGAGGCATTTGTGACCAGGTGGGTATTGCAGAGGGATTAGTAATGCTGACACCGGAAGCAGAATAGGTTTCTGAGCAGTCGGATGATATTGATGCTCCATCTCCTTGTTCTTTCTTCTTACGTTTAGCTTTGGGCTTGGGCATTCTGCTGGTTTTTTTGTACAAACAAGGTACTCCAAATAGGTGCCCGTCTCAAAATTAAGACTCTTTTCTATTTATTCACCGATTCAAAAATGTACTCACTCTATCACATACACACGTCCGTAGTCGACCGAAGCTCGAACCGGAATCCTTCAAATTGTTAATATTACTTACTAGTTATGGCCGAAAGCCAGTTTACCTAAATACAGTCTTATCATCACCCATCAGATGAAAACAACAACCGCACAGTCCGCACTACTATTCACTTGTACCCTCGCTAACAATCAACCGAAATCCATAGGAACGGAATTAAGAACACGTTCCCTCGTCCTTTCTGAACGAACCACAAATTAAATGTTTAATCTCTAATATATGAATATATAATCGTTAATTCTAATGAAAGCGTTGATATAAAATAAGTCAAATTACTTCAATGCAATTTATTATGAGGAGTAGGAAGATTCGTACAATGCATAAATTTTTGTTCTATTTTTTTACAACCCAAAATTTCTAAGGGCCAATGAAATTATGTTTTGACAAATTATATTATGTCAATTATATTAGCATTTTGCAGCTTTTTAAATAAATCCACCACTGATCCACTTATGGTTCCCCTATGTAAATCTGATTGCAATTGCAATGACGGGGAGTCAACTTTTAGCGTATTTTCTCATTTATGGAAAAATGCGCTATTGTGTTCGTCATGTCCGTCCCACCGTCCGTGACTTCACGAGAAAAAATGCGCTTTCTGTCACTCACTGCAGTGAGTACTGATCTAAATTTTTGTTACGTGCCTCGTGAACTTTCTTCTAAAACTATCTTTTTTTATTCGAATTAAAGATACTTCTGAGATGTGGACAGGTACTATTGTGAATATTTCATTACACCTAAACATGTAATATACAACTTGCAACAAATTTCAGTCCCCACCCTAATTTCCGTCTTAGTGGACTAGCGTTCTCAGAAGACTAATGGAAAGATGATAGTGACAATGAATAGAGCATCATCTTCCTAAACAAGCCAACAAGCATGAGCCGAGTGTACAGAGGCTAAAACCACCGACACGTGACAATATTGACGGAAACCGTCTTATGTGTCAAAGTTATGGCAAACATGAGAGCCAGAAGCTCGTACAACAGTGCGAAGTCAGTTCCTGGAACTGTTCAGGTTGTAATCTTTTATAAAATCCTGACGCATTAGTTGGATATCATGCGTGATCGATTCACTCATCATGGCTGTTTCTTATAATATCGAGTCTTCCTAACTTCGAAAAAATATGGAAGCGCCTAGTGCAAATCAAATTAAACCTATTCTATTACATTAACTTATAAATTATATAAAATTTGAAAACTCAAAGTGCATCTCATGTTATTATTTTCATTTTGCCACGCGAATTTTCCATCGGACTCGTTGAGAATCGTAATGATGTAGCGTTATTAGAGTGACATCACGAGACAGATAATATAATAATAATTTAACTATTAACATAAATAATTTAACTCTTTATTCTATAATACTTTAATAATTTATCAAGAATATTTAAGAAATCTTTTTCAAAGTTTTCAAATCTTTCAGTGGGCCTAACCAAGGTTTATTACATATTTCAAATAATTTCATTTGTTGATCTAACAGTGGCCATTTAACTGGCCACAGCATTTAATGCATGGAAAGCATTTGGTTTCTGGAATAATATTTCGTTTCGTGCCTTTACTTGCAACGTGCAGTCATGCTTTCCAGTATACAGTTTTTTATCAATTTTTTCTTTTTTCCAGTATATAGTTTTCCAGTTTTTTTTCTTT